TGGGGGGGGGGGGGAGGAGAACACCCCCAACTTGCCTAAAAGATCACGATGGTGAGGACCAGAAAGGGATTTAGTGAATAGATCGGCGAGTTGAGAATGAGAAGGGAGAAAAGAAAGAGAAATGAGGCCGGCTTGAAACTGTTGCCGGACAAAATGACAATCAAGTTCAACGTGATTGGTGCGTTCGTGAAAAACGGGGTTTTTAGCGATGTGAATCGCAGCTTGACTGTCAGAAAGAAGGGGGACAGGCAAAGAGGGAGAAACAGACATGTCATCCAAAAGACGGACAAGCCAGGTGAGCTCAGCCACAACATGACGCATCGAGTGATATTCGGCTTCGGCAGAGGAAAAAGAGACGGAAGGTTGTTTCTTGGATTCCACCGAAACAGGGCTACCACCCAGACTAATGAAGAAACCACTGACGTAGCGCCGGGATTCAGGGCAAGTACCCCAATCGGAATCACAAAAGGCAAGAAGGTCAAGAGAGGGAGTGGAATTGAGAAAGATCCCTAAACCAGGATCATTAAGGAGATAGCGAAGGCAGTGTTTGGAAGATGAAAGGTGAGGAAGACGAGGGTCCTGCATATATTGACTAAGATGCTGGACAGTAAAGGAGAGATCATGACGTGTGTGTGTTAAAAAATTGAGCTTGCCCAACAAACAGCGATAAAGAGATGGATCAGGTAAAGGCTCCCCAACACAGAGAATAATTTGCAAGAAGGGTCTAGAGGGGAAGACGCTGGAGGAAGATCAAAGCAATGAAATTCAGCCAAAAGCTCAAGCACAAACTTGTGTTGGCTCAGAATCAAACCTGATGGCTCACGCAGAACCTATATGCCCAAGAAGAAAGATAAGTTTCTTAAATCCATAATCTTGAATTCAAAGTCTAAGAACTGTTTGAGGTTCTGTAATTCCAAAAAATTATTCCCAGTAAGCAGAATGTCGTCCACAGAAACAACAACGAAAGAAATAGAGTCCCCAGTCTTCTTATAGAATAAAGAGTAGTCGTTGAGCGAATGAGAGAACCCTTTAAAATTCAAAGCAGTAGTTAAACGAGCATACCACTGTCTGGATGCCTGGAACAAACCATAGAGTGATTTTTTAAGACGACACACCATATTGGGAAAGGGAGGAGAAAGACCAGCAGGGAATTTCATATAGACTTCTTCAAAAATATCCCTATGTAAACAAACGTTATTGACATTCAATTGATATAACCCCCATCCCTTTTTAACTGCAATAGCTATAATCCACCGTATGGTGGTCATCTTGACCACATGGGAGAATGTCTCAGTAAAATCTATTCCTTCTCATTGAGTATCACCACAAATAACCAGTTAAGCCTTTAGTCTTTCCACAGACCCATCAGATTTGAGTTTCACCTTATAAACCCACTTACAAGGGAGTGCTTTCTTCCTTGGAGGAAGAGGTACAACATCCCAAGTCTTATTAGCCAACAAAACATCAATTTCTTTAGTCATTGCTTCCTGTCAACCAGGGTGCATGGCTGCCTGAGAGAAAGAGTTAGGTTCCTGAATGTGAGGGATAAAATTATGAAGGGTCTGGTTAGAGGGTGAAAGGGCAGCGAAGGAGGAGTCACAGGAGTGAGAAAGCAGGGAGTAGACACATTAGTTAAGTGGACATCCCCACAAATGTAGTCAGAAAGATAGGAAGGTGTTTTGTGTTCCCTAAGAGATCTGCGAAGGACAGTATCCAGTACCAAAGAATGGGGTGGTATGCTAGGTTCAACACTAGGAATAGAAATATGGACAGAAAGAGGGGAAGAACTTAATGTGCCAGGAATCTGTGTAGAAGAAGAGGTTGGGCAGTAGCTTCAGGTGAGACATTGGGTTCAGAAAGGGTATGAGGAGCAGGAGTAGGAGAAGGTACAGGAATATTGATAGGAAGAGTGTCATGTGAATCAGTAGGTAAAGACATGGTATGAAATAAAGGGGTGACAATGGTAGAGATTAAAGCAAAAGGATAGATAGACTCATGAAATATCACATCCACAGAGACAAAGATATGTTTGGATGATAGATCAAAAAGCTTGTATCCCTTTTTACCAAAAGGATATCCAAGAAACACACAAGCTGTGACTCTTGGATCCAATTTACCTCTTTGATGTGGTAGAGTACAGGCAAAACAAAGACATCCAAAACATTTAAGAAATGAGTAATCAGATGGTTTGTGAAAGAGGAGTTCAAAAGGTGTTTTATAATTCAATAGCTTGGAAGGGTACCTATTGATTAAAAATGTGGTTGTAAGTAAGCATTCTCCCCAATAGACAATATGTAAGTGAGACTGAAATAGGAGGGCTCTACATACCTCTAAGAGATGTCTACGTTTGCGCTCTACTACACCATTTTGTTGAGGTGTAACAACACAACTTGTTTGATGAATAATTCCTTTGGAAAGAAAATAGGCAGTTGAAAAGAACATTTGATTTTCTGCAAAAGGATTCTCGTCCGTCATTGTTATCAACGGAAATGAAAAAAAAACAGATATAATTGGAGAAGAATTGAGATCAAAACAGTATCAGAAGATCGAAATTGAAATTGAACTGAGATCTAAACACAGATCACGCAGTCTGTAAAAAATCTAGAACAATCTAGAAGATACGATAGAAAATCGAGCACCTTTGCTCTGATACCATGTTAGAGCAAAAAATGGAATTGAGAAATGAGTTTTGGAATTTTCTGTTTTCTCATTATTTCTGTACTGTTTACAGCTGTGCAATGTATACTTATATACAAAATTAATGCACACACTCTAAATTCTCCACTAGCTAGCTAAAGAAAACGTGATTTTACATAAATACCTTTAGAACATTAAAGCATAAAGGATTGAAATGTAATATCACCGAGCATCAGCTAGGTTATCTCACTTGCATTCTTGGGTCT